TATTTCAAAATGTGGCTATATTCTGGAGAAATGTGACGTAATAAGTTTTGTAGAGGAAAGCTTGCTCTACAAAATCCTATAGTCCGTTTCTGAAATACAAGCAAATAGGATGAATAATTCTCGATTGAACATTGTATACAATATTTCTATCAAAAGAATTGACATCTTCTTTTTTTTGCGATGAATATTTTGACTATAACATCGTCATTTCTCAATGAAATTCGAAAGATTTTTTTACCAAAATGATCAGCGGAAAAAGCTCTACAAACTCTGATACGAAAGAAAATTTTCTGAATACTTTGCTAGTTTTCTGTTAACCACCCGTGGAACTGCCCTGCTATATCGATTACGAAAATTCATGTATTTCAATCATGTCGATGTATTTCACCAGTAGTTATAGCTAAAGAGCTGAAACTTTCAGAAATAGAAGATCTTCATTAGATATATATGTGATAAAAATTTCAACCCTCTATATCAAGAAGAATTATGAAAAATATGAACAACAATTTATCGTCAGTTATTATGGAACAACCTTTATCTAATAATTTACTTTTTTTTTCGTGCTGATGTCACTTTTTTTCTTTTTTTTCTTGTGAACCTGACTATGGCACAATAAATTATGAATATTAAAAAAAAATGAACTTCTCGACAATGAGAATAATGTAATTTTTTAAAATAAACTTTCCAGTACAAGATATTAATGATGATAAGTAAGCAAAAAATTTTGAGATTACTCATTATTTTGGTTTCAATACTAGCAATACTCTCTGTAATCTTTGTACTTTGCTGTAATACATCTACAACTATACATCCTTCTAATAAACTCTTACAAATTTCTGGCAAGCTCAAGATATATTAACTGTTTTGTTTTTAAGAGACGTCGACTTCGTTTTAACATTCTCATATGAAGCAGATCATAGAATAGGATTGAATATTCACTTACTTGCTCTGGGTGGACATAAATCCCGATTGAAACTTGGTACTGGATAGCAAACGGGTTTATTATGGCATAGGGGATGTTGAACACATCTGTGTTCTGGATTGTTACAAGAATTATCCATAGGATCACATTCAAATAATTCCTTACAGTCGATAAATCGGTCAAGACAAAGACCTACGTTAATGGCACCAGCATCATAAAAGCAGACACATGCACTATTTGTTGAACATTGGTCATACTGTGATCTTCCACGACAATATTGAGATTTCACTCGAACTATTGATAGACTAAATAGAAAGTAGAATGCAATATACAAAGTGAGAAAAATGAAATCTTTCGCAAGCTTAATAAAAAAAGAAAACACTCAGCCTTCGACTGTTATTCAAATGAAAAGATGGCAAAATTACCTAAAAAGAAGTAGTGAAAGGGAATTAAATACTATTGAAACCATCGTGTCTGTTAAAACGAAATAGAGTGCCAACGATATTTGCTTTTATGTATGATGTGTATATCAGAATATTTCAATTTATAGAAATTAAATTTCATTACAAAGCTTACTTAAATGCTTTGTTTTTCTCAATAGAAAAATAATCCTTAACAAAGAAAAAAAAAATCATACGAAAAATGATTCGTCATATATGACGCTAAGTAAATTCATCAAAGAAAAAACAGTGATATAACGCATCACATTCGAAAAGTATATATCAGTTAGTACTTGTAGTTCGTATTTTTCATCATCATAATATTCAATTTCTTATTGAAAACTAATCAGTTTCAAGTGCAACTTTATCGTTGACTTTTCTTTAATACATCCATTAATTTGAAATCGATATATGACTATATTCATTATTTTCTTTTTATAAAGGCTGATTAAATTCGAAAAAATCGATGAGAAAATATACGAACTTGTTCGACTCAAATTGATGTGAATATGGCTGTTTGCTAGTAAAAGAAAACGAGTATTCACATTCGTTTTCATCCATACTCCACAGAAAAAATGGGCTGAACAAGATATTGAACGAGAGCTCATCATTAACATGACAGATAATTACTCGACAAATACCACAGTCTTTTTATAACCAAGCCGGGACAAAAGTAGCTATTGTATTCTCGTGTACTTTAGTTATGAATTTTCATGGTAGTCATGAAAAATTTTGAAGTTCTCTATTTCAGTTCGCATTTCAACACTATTGTAAAATCATGTTTGATAAAAGTACCTGAGTAATTTCACTAGTTTCAAGTAAAATGTGAAACGATTCAGATGTATATATGACTCATCGTAATGTTTATACGTAATATCTAGAAAGCTTAGAAATATGATTACTGACTTGTGCTAGTGTGAAAAAATCTACCAGTTGCAACTCTGTTCTACACCCACATCTTTACTCGATAAGAGGGTGTGGGTGTTAGTGCGGTTGTACTTCTCACTGACATCCACACCCACACCCTCACCCACACACCCACACCCACACATCCACACCCGCACCCCACACACCCTTTCTAAAAACTTGGAGAAACTTATTAATTATATTCAGGCTTCTCTAATTACAACTTCTTCTTAAGTTTCATAGCACCGAATAAGCAAAGAACAAGTAGTATATTGCAAAGTGTCCATACGTGATGTATCAAAACAATTAATTGAATTAACGCATCACTTCATAATTTATTGGATTGTGCACATATTTTGACGTCACAAAGTAGAGGGGAAAAGTGTCCTAATGATGATGATCAATGGAAACTTGAGAAGTTGTAAGAGAGGACTAATGATATAGAATACAGTGGGTTTGATAATGGAGAAAAGTCAATAATAATATATGAATAGGCTCTATAGTATATCCATTTATGATTGATATTCGTAAGTTTCAATCAAATGCGTATTCCAAGTAACATTCTCTCTTATTTTTCACCACTACTAACACTAAGAAAGATAGATTTCATCAAATTAAGATATGAATCTAGTAAACATTGCGAAACATCTTTTACATTGAACACAAATGGAATATGGCTCTAAAGATTCTATACCAAGTGCTGATGAAACTTTTGCTTCGCAACAATTATTTGAAATTTTAAAGACATTTAAAGATAGTTACTTTAATGAACGATATACTTATCAAACTCTTGATTTCAATGATGAATATGATGAAACAACGGACGAAGAAGACAACACTGATGAACCAGAATCAACTGATGAAGAAGAGAATATTGACGATTACGATGAAAATCAATATTTTAATATTCGAAATAATTTTATATTAGAAGAGATGAAAGATATAGTGGAATGGGTTGATCAACATCCGAATTGCAAAATTGCAACTATTAAGCATAATTTTCGGAAAGTTAACTACATGCATTATATCACAAGATTTCGAGAATATATTAAAACGAACGGCACAAGATTAGAAAAACTGGAAAAAATCAAAGAATTTATGCGGAACGAATTTTATTTGAAAAGAGCAATTGAAAAAGAAGCAGTTCAT